TTGAACCACTATTTCATTACCATACCTAGCAGACAGCATGTGTCCAATAAATATTTGTCAAATGGGTGAATAAGTCATAATCTCTCTACATAGCACAGAGCCACCGACAAGATGATGATAAATTTCCAGAGCCCCAATGGTCTGCCAAGCAAATAAGTGAGTAATTACATTTAGCTGAGACATTAGTCTTGCTCCAAGAGGTTCATAAGCTGGTTTAAAAGTCTCTAAAGTATGTTCCTTCTGTATCCCCCAAAGCCGCTGATCTAAGAAGGGCTGCATAGAAGCTGTTCATTACATATTCACTGATTTATTGATAGAAAATTGGATAAAAAAGTCCATCCTGGTCAACAGAGCAAGATCCCATCTCTACAAAAAAATTAAAATAAATTGGGCCAGGCAAAGTGGCTCATACCTGTAATCCCAGCGCTTTGGGAGGCCGACGCGGGAGGATCACCTGAAGTCGGGAGTTCAAGACCAGTCTGACCATAGTGAAAAAACTCCATCTCTACTAAAAATACAAATTTAGTCAGGCGTGGTGGTACATACCTGTAATCTCAGCTACTCAGAAAGCTGAGGCAGGAGAATAACTGGAATCCAGGAGGGAGAGGTTGTGGTGAGCTGAACCATTGCACTCCAGCATGGGCAACAAGAGCAAAACTCAGTCTCAAAAATAAATAAATAAATAAATAAACATAAATATAAATTAGCCAGCATGGTGGCATGTGCCTGTAGCCCCAGCCACTCATGAGGTTGAGGCAGAGGATGGCTTAAGCCCAGGAGGTCTAGGCTACAGTGAGCGGTGATTGTACCACTCCACTTCAGCCTAGGCGACAGAGTGAGACCCTGTCTCAAAAAAAAACAAAAAAGAAAGGAAGAAAATTTATCCAAAAACTCCAATGATTTAATGGATGGGTTACAATAGTAGAGTAGATTCTGGGCGGTCTGACACCAAAGGGATCCCCCTAAACCTGAAGGAGATCATTTAAAAGACAATCAAGAGAGACTGAGGTTGTTTCCTTCTCTTTTAGCAGCTCTCCTCAATGCAGAGAAATGTACAGAATATGTCCATCCCATCTCCATGGTAACAAGAGGCAGGCATGATTATTATTATACACATAATTACAAAGAGCCTCCACATGGTTATTCCTTTTTCAGATGAAGAAACTGAGGTTCATGGGGGAACGTCACGGAATTCTAGGAGTCGGCCACAAGGCTACTGTTTCTTGTTTCCAGTAGGAGAGGGGTTAGTGAGAAGGAATCCAATCAGAAGGCTGATTGGAATTCAAGGAATGCGAGGATGATGTCAGGCAATCCAACACTGTGGATCGCCAGCCCTCGTCGAATCACAGACGGGATTTACAACTCCCATGCCTATCGGTGGTACAAGTCGCATTGTGTGTTCCAACACCTCCCTTACCATGGCACCCGGTTTTGATCCACATTAGGTGTGTCCATTTTTATGTCGAAGCGTGTGAAAATTATCACAAAGCTCCATTCTTTCTTACCAGACCAGTCTTATGCTGCTTTCTTCTCCATTTCTCCAGTACCCTTTACCCCTCTCTGTCAGCCAATCTTTCCTGGTTTTTTTTCTTTTGCCCCTTTCCTATTGGTCTCTGAGTTTCTGCCTCTTTCCTATATCCTGATGGTACTGCAGCCTACTACCGAGATAGTCTAGGGTCTCTTCACGGTCATCTTTGACCACAGGCCACCAGGGAGCCAGAGGAGAGAGAAGGCTCTTCTGTGAGAGGTGGCCGGTACAGGTGAAAAGATCCATGTTGCAGATAACTGGAGTCAGAAGACCCAAGCCCTTCTCCCAGCTCTGTTACCTCCAGCCATGTGACTTTTATTCAAATACTTAACCTCATGAACCTCAGTTTCTTTATCTGCAAATGAATAACCATGTGGAGGCACTTCATAATTATATTAATAATAATAGTCATGCCTGCCTCCTGTTACCATGGAGATGGACATAGACATACTCTGTACACTTTAGATGCCAAATATAAGTATGAAAATACAATTTCTGCTGTCTGGTCTCACCTAGCTTGAAAAGTCCTGTGTTCCTGTCTTGGCTCTGCCCTTAATTATGTCACCTTAAATAAGTCGCTGTCCCACTTTGCGTCTCAGAATCTTCAACCACAAAAAAAGAGAGTAGAGTAGCCTTGGAGGCATGAAATGGGACCAACACTCTGGGTCTATTTCACCCACTTTTTTATCCCTAGTGTTGTGTTTGGTGTGTGGTAGGCACTCAACAAATGTTTGCTGAATGAATGCATGTGTAACGTGATATTTATGAATAAGTGCTAAAAATATACATTAAGAGTGTTTAAAGGAAGTCTGGCTGTGGCAAGGTAGCAGATAGAGAAGGGTTCTAATGAAACCCAGCTGGCCAAGGGCACACCCCCCACTCCCTACATGTTTCCACACTGTCTGTCCCCATTCCCTGAGAACCTGGCCTGGGATATCACCCCCAGATGAGCTTTGGGCAGATGATGAGCATCTCTGAGCCAGATCACAGTGGAAGAGGCAGAAGTAGAAGAAGAGAGAGAAGATGGATATGGAAAAGATGGGAGAGCCCAGGAAAAGATGGCAGAATGCTTCAAACTTCACACTCTGACAGCAGAAAGAAAACTGGCAATCAGGTGATCACATCATGAACTTTCTCATTGTCTGCACAAGGGAACTTAGGGAACAGCGAGATCACCTCGTTCATTGGTGAACAGGCCAGTTTGAATTTTAAAGGAGAACAAAACTGTTTCTCCATGGGATGCCTTAACTATTTCATGTAATTTCTACCTCGCCAGACTATGCAGAACTTGGAAGCAGAGACCAAACCAACTCCCTTGTCCTTCTCTCCTCTTTCCTCCAGGCTCAATTCCCCACACCACTCCCACCCCCACACCCCCTTAGAATACAACAAAGGGGCTGGATGTGGAGCAGATGCCCTGTAAATCATGAGGCTCATGGGCTGGGAGCAATTGCTTACTCACTGGAGAGCCCCTCTTCTGCCTCAAGGCAGCCACATCTGTTTCCCTACATCACAGAGGGAACTGTTGGTCTCAAAGGAGGAGTTCACAGGGTTTCTCTATCACCTGCTGGGAATGGGTGGGAGCTGGAGGAGGACCACTGTTGCCAGAGACCACATGAGCACTGACCTCTGGCCCTGGCAGCAGCAGTAGCTGCTGTTGCAATGGGCCTTTGCCATGCCCCAGTCCTAGGGGAACATCTGCAGATCAGTGGTTGTCTTGGAATAGGCCATGGGAAAGTCAAGAGAAGCCACGGTGCTTGAAAACCATCCCAGAATCCCACTGGAACACTGTGCCAGAATACACTGAGCCCTAACAGTCTTGGGTTTTATGCTATTTTACTCATTTTTATTTTTTGGCTGCACTTTTAGTTGGAAATTCAGAAAACTAAAGTTATCCCAGGGTATGGGTTCCAAGAATGTCACATAGCTCTCTGGCAGCTGATAACTACGGGTCCTGTGTTCAGGATCCACAGCTCAGTGCTGCAGATCAGCCTGGCCACCAAGAACAACCAGTCTCTAAAAGAGACCCAAGTCCAGGGAAGCAATGACTGAGACCAAAACCCAATCTTGTCTTCACTCCTTAAATCTTCCTGCCATGGCCAGGGAAATGTAAGTTACTTGAGGGCAGGCACCTGCCTCATTCACTTCTGAATTCCCTGTACCTGGAGCAGTCCCTAGCACACAGTAGGTCCTCAGTAAGTATTTGACTAAAGAAATGGATAGGCTGGGCACAGTGGCTCATGCCTATAATCTCAGCACTTTGGGAGGCCGAGAAAGGCATATCACTTGAAGTCAGGGGTTCAAGACCAGCCTGGCCAACATGGTAAACCCTGTCTCTACAAAATTACAGAAAAAGTAGACGGGCATGACGGTGGGTGCTTGTAATCCCAGCTTCTTGGGAGGCTGAGGTGGGAGAATCACTTGAACCTGGGAGGCACAGGCTGCAGTGAGCTGAAATCACGCCACTATACTCCAGACTGGTGACAGAGTGAGACCCCATCTCAAAAAAAAAAAAAAAGAAAGAAAGAAAGAAAGAAATAGATAAACTACCAGGTCATGCAAAGAGAATCTCTAGGCAGAGTGACCTCACCCCACAGCGCTGCTCATCTTAGAATGTGATAGGAGAGGTGACAGGAAGGCAAAGGTTGGCAAACTATGGCCCATGGAATTCTGTTTTTGTATGGTCCATAAGCGAAGAATCCTTTTCACATTTTTAATGGTTGTAAAAAAATGCAAAGAAAAATAATATTTTATGACACATGAAATACATGAAATTCTCATTTCGATGTCTATAAATAAAGGTTTATTGGAACATAGCCACTCCCATCCACTTACTGGTATTGTCTGTGGCTGCTTTTGCAGAACAGCGACAGAGCTGAGTAGTTGCAAAAGATTGCATCACCCACAAAGCTGAACATATTTGCTACCTAGCCCTTTATAGGAAAAGTTTGCCAACCCCTGGCCTGAAGGATTTCCCCAGTTAGGTGCATGTGGACTGGATGCCCAACATTAGCTGCTTGGGGTTAAGCATTGTTCTTTGGCTCTTCCTTTTTTTACTTTTATTTATTTTTATTTTATTGTCAATTGACAATTTGTAGTTGCATCTATTTCTGGGTACAAAGTAGTGTTATGATTTATGAATATAATGTAGAGTCATTAAATCAAGCTAATTAACATATCCATCACCTCATGGCTCTTTCTTTTAAATAGAAGCCTTTCTAGAGTGGTTTAAATTACCCTTAGCAGTATAAATTGTTGACAATTTTCTCCCTGAAAAAAACAGACCTGATCAAGAATAAGGAGAAACAAAGAAAGAAATATTTTTAAAAAGGTAAAGGACTCAAAAAGGGGAATTTCCCCAAAGACAAACTGAGTGCACTTTATAATGTTGCTAAGGGCTAGCACTATACCAGGGCTTTGAGAAAAGACACAAAACAGAAAACTTCTCTGAGTTCACAGAAGGACCCCTTACCTTGCCCGGAAACAGCCACACCCCTGCCCAGACTGGCTCCTCCAATCTGGCCTCCTTCAGTACTTCATCCATCCTGATCCAGTGTGAATGATGCTGTCTTTAGACGTCTCACCTGCACCACAGGACACCACAGGGCACCACATACAGCTCTCCTGAGCAGTGGAAATCATGGTATTGTTTATTTAGATCCAGACATAGCAAATGACCTGCATCCCTTCCTCCCCACAGAAAACACTCATCACAGCAGTCCAGTCAGCAAACAAAATGACCACCACTTGCCATCTCTGATTCCATGCTTGCCTCGAGACAGTGAACTCCTTGTAAGCACAAATTCTGTCTTAGTGGAGGTTTTCTTGTTTTTTTGTTTTTTTGAGACAGAGTCTCGTTCTGTTGCCCAGGCTGGAGTGCAGTGACACGATCTCAGCTCGCTACAACCTCCACGCCCCTGCTTCAAACAATTCTCCTGCCTCAGCCTCCTGAGTAGCTGGGATTACAGGCATGCACCACCACGCCCAGCTAATTTTTTTTTTTTTTGTATTTTTGTAGAAACGGGGTTTCACTATGTTGGTCAGGCTGGTCTCGAACTCCTGACCTCATGATTCACCCACCTCAGCCTCCCAAAGTGCTGGGATTACAGGTGTGAGCCACCGCGCCCACCCCTATCTTAGTGATTTTTATTTCCCTGCATCTAACACAACACCTAACTTGTGGTAGGTATAATATTCAACTAAAACTAGTCCTCTCCTCCTTTTCCTTTGCTTGCCCTGTCATGCAGCTAGGAGATGCATGAAATCCAATGCTCTTTCCACTGAAATGCTGCTAACAACTTCCCCAGAATTCTTTATTTCCTCTCCAGGGAAGAATGCGCATCTAGAACTTGAGCCTGGAATTCAGATCAGCTTGGTGTCAACACACATCCAGGGTCTCCCCATGGCCAGTGTGTCTCCCCCTTAGATATGCTTGGGCTTATTGGAGGAGGAGTCACCTAAGCTTGTTTTTCCTCTCTAGTCTTCTGGTGGGCTAGGAGGATTCAAGGTTCCAACTGAGTTCTCTTTCTCAACCTTGAGCAAGAGGAGAAAAAACAGTCACTTGAACACCTAAAGACAAACCCCTCATCCTCTTCAAGGCAGAGGAAAGTAACTTCCCAAACTCTTCTTAAATAAGAAGAAAAGAAACTCTCCTCTTTCAACAGGTATTTCTGGCTGCTGGAGAGCGTGTTATTAGTACAAGAATCTAAACACAATAGCCTGTCTCCTGGCAACTGCCATTACCATGGCAACCTCTGACTTTCACGGACTGCTTTGGATACTAAGGGTCTCAGAGACAGACTTCTAAAACAACCAAATTTTTCAAAACTGACTTCTCAAGGGACTTACTCCTCTGGCAGAACAGACCCCTCCTAAACTTTCATTTAAAGAGAAAACCTAAAATCTGCCATTTTAAAAAATAACAGAAATCCCCGTTAAGTGCTGTTATCACACCAACCCTCAAAGCTATGGACATGGACAACATAGAATTTAAATTTTACAAGTGGAAAAAAAAATGTACTAAGTGAGAGTTGAGGATGGGAGATGGAGATCTGGTAGACTACCAGCAAATGGAGATAGCCGTGAAGAGGCGTATTTGGGAAGGTAGTTCACAAACCTGAACCAGAGGAGACCCACCTGGAGAACATGTTCAAATACAGATTCCCAGGCCTTATTCCCAGAGATTCTGATTCTATAGGACTGGAATGACACCTGAATCATTTTTGAAAGCTCTTCCAGTGATTCTGATGAACACTCAAATTTGGAAACCAGCAATCTGAAGACTATTCCTTGCCTCTTCCCCACCATGGTCCAAGGGTCTCCTGGATCTTAGCTCCCTCAATTTCTGCCAGCCCTCAATTCCAGAACCAGAGTAAAAGAAACTCATTTTCTTTAAAATAAAAGGAAGAAACCGCAGCCCTGACATGCACGTGTGCTCTGTTAGGTGCTGTACACAGGGAACCTTGGAGCTGGAAGCCGCCCCCAGCCCTGAGCTGTGGAAAGGTTATGTCACGCTCTTGGGTTGCTGCCTGGTTTCCACTGGGGTTGCTGTCTGGTTTATTTTAGGTGCTGGGTCTGCAGGCTAGTACTCTGACCTTCCTTGGCTCTCCCCCAGGGAGCCACCACCAGGCTCCTGGTATATCAAGAGCTACAAGGTACAATTTCCATGGCATCCAGGTAATAGGAACCAACTGGCAGCAATAGTTAGGACCTGCATTAGACCTGGGGAGGCAGCCTGCTGGGGAAGAAAGGTTCCCAGATGTGAGCCTTTGCACACGGTCTTAGCATGACTATTCACAGCTGTGGGATTTGGGGCTAGCCACTCTCCCTCCATGGGCCTCAGTTGCTCACCTATGAAATTAGGGGTTCAACAAGGGATTCAGCACAGAATAGTGGAGGGAATGTGGATTCCGGGGCCAGAAGACTTAGAATCCTATCTTCATCACTGACTTGCTTTGTGACGTTGGGCAAGTGGCTCATCCTCATTGTACATCAGTTTCCTCATCTACAAAATGAGTCTAAAAATACCTCTCACAAGGCTGATGTGCCAGGTGCAGATGATGTGTGCCAAGTGCTTGGCTTACACACCAATGGAGCTCCAAGACACACACACACACTCACTTCTTAACTGTCAGCCTGATGAAGTAGGTGCCAAATCTGGATAGAGACGGTCTGGGGGGGTTTAGAAGATGGAAGAGTCCTCTGCGCAGAACAGGTAGAAAGAAAGGGAAACATGAATTTCTGAGGGAAACAAAGTTTGACTTGGGATTTTGTCAAATGGATAAAAAATGAATAAGCAACTAGAGGACAAAACCCTGAAGAATAGAAGAAAAAAAATCTGGAATCTGGATTGGGAAATGTGGGTTCAAATCCCAGCCCTGCCCCTATCCAGCCTTGTGGTTTGCTGATAGCTGCCTCTGTTGCAGGAAAACACACACACACACACACACACACACACACAAACACACACACACACACAAACGCACACACATACACACAAACACACACACACACGTAAAACAGGTTCTTTTCACACTACGGGGAAAATTTAGCCACACGAACATATTGTAGGGTGAGATGCAGGGAAGGGTTTATTGGGTTAAAAGGAAAAAAGGAAAGAGGAACTCTCAGCAAAGCAAAGTGAGAGAGAGTCCTGCTACCAGGCCCCCACCTTACAGACTGAATCTCAGGCCGCCACATAGGAACTGAAGAGGCCAAGTTCCTCCTCCCTGCTCCACCCGCTTCCCCCAGTGGGCAAGTGGGCACTATCCAAGAGAATCTGTCAGGAAGGGGTGGGCTTTTCCCAGGACCAGCAGTCTGGTTTTTTAGCCTTCAGGCTTGTCGGCTTGTTTTAGGCTTTAGGTGGGTTTTCAAAGGAGACCCTTGTCTGTCTCCTGTCTCTATCACCTCTTTTTCTTTTTTTTTTTTTTGAGACGGAGTCTCGATTTGTCGCCCAGGCTGGAGTGCAGTGGTGCAATCTCAGCTCACTGCAACCTGTGCCTCCTGGATTCAAGTGATTCTTCTGCCTCAGCCTCCCCAGTAACTGGGACTACAAGCATGCACCACCACACCTGGCTGAGTTTTATATTTTTAGTGGAGACAGGGTTTCACCATATTGGCCAGGCTAGTCTTGAACTCCTGACCTGTGATCTGCCTGTCTCAACATCCCAAAGTGCTGGAATTACAGGCATGGGCCACTGCAACCAATCTCTGTTACCTCTTTCTCTGTGAAATGGAGCTGTGGCAAAAATTAACAAGATGACTTGAGAGAAAACACCTTGTATATTACGTGGAACACAGCAGATGTTTAGTGGGTGGACGGATGGATGGATGGATGTACGGACAGACGGATGGATTCCAGATGGGGAAAGTGGGGTGGGCAGTGGAATAGAAAGAGGAACGTCCAAGGCAGCTTTATAGGTCAGCGGGTATATCTGCATAGCTCAGCAATTTCTAAAGAGTGTTCCTGGAACTCTAGCACCTAAGATACTCCTAAGGGGGAAAAAACCATATTCTCTGGTCAATTAAACTTAGGAATGACACTCTGATATATCACTCTCCTGATGATCTGCAATAAATGTCAACATATAAATGATTCTGCAAAGTCTTTTCTAGCTTTATTTATACCAACTAGTCCACAATTTAGTTCACTTCTAAACCAGTTTTTCACATTAAATATGTTAACGTCACACTGAACTTGGCAGAGGTCTCTTCCTGAAGTAAATTAAGGGGGTGGCAGCAGAGAGCCTTGGAAGAATTACCTGGGGTTTTCTTTGTGCTCCTGCTGCTCTGCACTTTAGGAGCTGTCTGTGCGGCACTGTGTAGAAGCACCCTGGACAAGACAAGCAAGCATATTGAAAACAGGGTCCTGTACTTCCACACAGTCCCCAGCTGCTGAGACATATGACCTTGGGAATGCTCCTCAACTTTCCTTTGCCTCCATTTCCTCACCTATAAAGTCACAGTACCTACTGCACAAGGTGATTGCACGAATCAAATGAGTTAAGGTACCTAAGGAGGTTAACATGGTGCCTGGCACTTAGCAATCTGTCAGCAAAAGTGGTGCCGGTATTATTAGGTCACCATCTGAATCTTCTCTACCAGTCATTCTGTAATATCCAGCAGGATTTGGACGCTGAGTCCCAAGGGTAGGAATCATGCCAATTTCTGCCTCCGTCTTCCTTTTGGGGGTCAGCCTAGAGCCATACACCAAGAGGAGGTGAGTCAGGCCATTGCAAAGGAGGCAACGATGATGACGTCTGCCTCGTGCTTTCCCTACCTACAGAGCAAAAGAAGGGGGCTCTTTCAGAAAAGCATCAAGTCTCGCAGGCTGGCAGCAGGCTACGAGAAGATGGAGAATCCGCTTAGTCATTTCTTAAGAGCAAGAATAAGTGGCTTAGAGAAGCAGCCAGCTATACCCCCCTGGGAGGTCAGCCAGGTGCCTCCTAAAAAAGAGAAAAGCAGGGAGGCACAGAACGCTGAGTGCCTGGATCTGATCAGGGCTGTGGGGCAGAGACAGCTGGCTCCCAGTGTCAGAGACACATGCCCTGCACAAATACCTCCGCTCCAGGCTGGAAGGGGAGGCCCCAGCTTCATCTCTGGCCACAAAATCAAGTCCCCAGCTCTCCTCCATTTGTGGAAGAATATTTGACGCTCTGCAGAGGCCCTATGGTCGGTTTCTCCTCCTGGGTTCATTCATTCATTTAGTTAATATCTATTGAATGCTTACAATATGTCACAAGGGATACAGTTGTACACAAAACAGGAAAAAGTCTCTGCACTGATGGAGTTCACATTCCCCAAGAGGGGAGGAAACTCGGTCAGGGTCAAACAGCCGTTTGCATGTAGTGCCAGAACCATAATCCATGCCTCCTGTGCCGACCCCCACAAGCTACCTTCCAAGTTTGAGCCTTCTTTCCACTCTTGTCAAAATTGTTTCCCACTGATTTCTTGAAGTTATTTGGACATTCTCCAAAAATTTTCTTTGTTCCACTATGGGGGAAGTTGTTTCTTTTTTCCTTATCCAACTTAATTTTCTCCATCTGCAATTTAAACTCATTCTCTATTTTAATCTTTTTTTTTTTCCCGAAATGTGCATGCTGTTGCTATACCTGAGTTTTAAAACAATCCTGTCAAGTAATTAGAGTATGCATTTTGGTTACCATGGACAGATGAGGAAACTGAAGAATCACGATCAGATAAATTACGTTCAGAAAACTGTTTATAGATAGCTGGAGACACCCAAACTAGAACCTAGTGCGTCTTAAGTCTTTGTCCAGGGCTTTTCCTTATGAGCCAAAAAATCTTTTCAAGCCCAGGCGCTGCCATCCTTCTGCAGCTGAGGACTTCTAGCTCTTCAGAAAGAGGAAGATAATTAACATCACCCCAATCTTACTCTTTTTCAATTCACATAATTCTCTCTCTTTTAAACTCTCCTTTCTATGGGATAGATTGATTCCTATTGGCTAAATCCATTTCCTTTTTTTCTTGGGCACAGAGCTGAACTGCCTTTACCAGACTCTCTTGTATTTAGGTGTTTCTATGTGACTGATTTCTCGCCAATGGAATTTGACCGGAATTAATGCACACCCTTCCTAGTCGGTCCTTAAAAATCTGTCAGGCTCAACTGCCTATGCTTTTTCCTCTTCCACCAGCTCAATGTAAATGAGCATAGCTACCTTGGAGCCAAGTATCTAAGATGTCAGAACCTCAAGTAGGAAAGATCCTGCTTCCCTGTATAACCGCTTGGAGGAAAATGGCCTGCTTATTAGGCAAACACATTTTAGAGCTTTTGTGGACAAGAAGTAAACTTCTACCATGCGTGAGCCATTGTATGTTTTGAGATTTGTTTGCTACAGCAGCTAGTATATTGACCTGGATTAGAGACAACTGATTCTGGCTTAGGAAAACACTCAAGAGTATCTACCTTCCAACACTTAGTCGTAGCATAGAACCAGTGGTTGAAGTGGAAGGAAGAAGCTCAGAGACCATAAACCATGCCCTTCCTTATTTAAAAAAGAAGAAAATGAGATCCATACATGGACACATCTGGCAATGCCTAAGGTCATGGAAGCCAAAAGGTCTCTACAGGATTCCAGGGCTCCTTGTTCAGTGCTCTTTCCCGACCGCACTGCCACTCTACTAACTAACAGATGGGGTGTATAGTGTCTAAGACAGGCTTGACAACAGGACTCAGATGAAGCTCGCTGTGTCTTCATGACTGTAACCTGAACCTCACTCGTAGAGGTTTACACCCATCTCTTAGTACTCTGAGCTCAGGGAGGAGTAGCTGGTCACCTGCCTTCCTAGAATAACCTTCCTGACACTTAAAGATGAATATTAAATTATTTCTCAGTACTGGCTTCTCCTGTACAGCTGTATTCTCACAAGTACATCTCAGTATTATAAGAAGTAAAAAACAAATGTGATCATAACATCCCCAAACCTTCATCATGGTGGTTGAAATGTAGGTCCGCACTGAACTGGTCCCCAGCCCAGTTGTCTCTTCCATGGCTTAGAGATGTCTGCAGTTTTTGCTCATAGGACAGTGCTCTGGTGGAAGGAAAAGGGGAGGGTTGGGGTTTTTTACAGATGCACTGTCCAGTCTCACACTTTCTGAAGCCCCTTGAGCACCAGGCTGGAGGCTACAGCTTTAGCCCTGTCTCAGGTAGGAGACATGCAAATATCGCTTTTCAAAGACTATTCCAGGGATCTTTTTTGGTTTTTGTTTTTTGTTTTGAGATAGGGTCTAGCTCTGTCACCCAGGCTGGAGTGCAGTGGCGTAACCACAGTCTCAGTCTCCTGGGCTCAAGTGATCATCCCACCTCAGCCTCCTGAGTAGCTGGGAATACAGGTGGGTGTCACCATGCCTGGCTAATTTTTATACTTTTTTTTAGTAGAAACGGGGTTTCACCATATTGTCCAGGCCGGTCTCAAACTCCTGGATCAAGCAATCCACTCAACTCAGCCTCCTAAAGTGCTGGGATTTCAGGAGCGCACTATCATGGCTGGCCTATTCCATGGGTCTTTGAAGCCTTCTGTTCCACACCTATATCGATAAAAGTATTTGATCACATATCCCCAATATATATAAATAATTTCTATTTAAATATTTAAATGATATGCCTTGCTATATATGAGTCAGTTATGTATATAATACAGCATTCACAAAAATGAAATTTTTTAAAGGATGAGATAAAAAACAAATGTGATTAGAAGTGCCAACAAAATTTTCCCTGGCCCTAGTGGACCATTCTACTCCCCTCTTCAGAAAACATTTGGTGCAAGCTGGGCGTGGTGGCTCATGCCTGTAATCCTAGCACTTTGACAAATGAAGGCCAAGGCAGGCAGATCACCCGAGGTCAGGAGTTTGAGACCAGCCTGGCCCACATGGTGATGCCCTATCTCTACTAGAAATACAAAAAAATTTAAAAATTAGCTGGGCATGGTGGCAGGTGCCTGTAATCCCAGCACTTTGGGAGGCAAAGGCAGGTGAATCACTTGAGGTCAAGAGTTTGACACCAACATGATGAAACCCGTCTCTACTAAAAACATGAAAATTAGCCAGGCATGCTGATGGGCACCTGTAATCCCAGCTACTCAGGAGGCTGAGGCAGGAGAATTGCTTGAACTCAGGAGGTAGAGGAGGTAGCGAGCCAAGATCACACCATTGCATTCCAGCCTGGGCAACAGGGCACAACTCTGTCTTGAGCAAACAGACAAAAAATTTGGTCCATCAGAACCTTTGAAAGTCGCAAACTGACAACCTACAGACTAAATGTGGCCCACAGATGTGTTTTGTTGGGCCTGAACAATGTTTTCTAAACTTTCTGTTAGTTCCCAATACTTAAAAATTGGAAAAGTCCACATGGAAATCTAGAAATTTTTTCAATTTTATTCACTGCTTTATCCCCAGTGTCTGATACATAGTAGGCACCCAATAAACACGTGTTCAATTAAATTTCCAGCTTCTCTTAAAAAAAAAAATCAAGCTGGCAGTTCTTCCTGGCAGTAATTACCTGGAGCTGAGTGGTGATTACTCTCTTTAGCAGGGTGTTGGCCCACCAGTCCCGAACCACAGTCCCCACCACTCCCTGTTGTCCTATATCCAACCAGCTTCAGTCATACTGATTTGCCCAGCCCCCATCAGTATCTGAATAATTGTTTCTATCTCAGTGTTTCCTGCTGTGTGATGGCCTCAGTCACCCTCCATGAGTTCAAACAAGAACAACATTCCATCTGGAGTCCAAAGACACAGGTTTGAGCCTGATTCTGCCAATTGCCATCCTTGAGAAATTTGCTCTCTGAGTCAATTATCCTAACCTAGAAAATGAGGATGGCAATACCTTCTTCACACATTGTTTGACAATCAAAATGAACAAGACAATATTGTGGGCTGCTTTATAAATTGTAAAGTATTGTGGGAATGCGAACACTTTTCATTGCTACAGTTGCATTCATCCTTTAAAAGTACCCACTGGGGTGAAAGCGATGAAGATTCCTAATGCCAAGCCTCTGATCTCACCACACTTCCCCAAATCAGTCATGTCTCTCTATCTATACACCCTCTTCCCAGCCCTCCCCTCTCATCTACCACTTCGGATTTCAGGGTTGAATGGGAAGACAAATGAAGCAACAAGCTGAAGAGTAAGGAGCCACAGCCCTCAAGGTTATGTTCCATTTTTTCTACTAACATTGACTCCCTTCTTTTACTCTTTCTCGTTTCTAAGTCACTAAATCTCTGTGATTTAATTCGCTATCACTGTACCCAGTGTCTCCACTCTGCATCCTGAGAGCCAGTCACTGCCTCCTCCGTATCTCCTTGAATCTAGACCTCATGGACTCCTAATCTGGGTGTTCACCTCCTGGAAATACGCCAAAGAGAACTTTCCTCTTCCACCTTTTTAACAGCAGGGAGACTAAATTTGTCATATATAAGCCTAACTTATCAGCAACACCCCCACCTCTCTCTAGATAGATATAGATAGATAGATAGATAGATAGATAGATAGATAGATAGATAGATAGATAGATAGATAGATAATGTCCTCTTCTAACACTCCCATAAATGTTTGGCCAGCTCTTGGTTGGACCATGTGAAATTACCAGTAGTTAACAATTTCTGATATTTTTTAAATGGCAATTTTTTTTGTGGTCCAACTTGATACATTTACTCCAGTGGCCCAGCCTTGGAGTTCTCTGTGATCTCTTCTCATGTTAAGCCAAAGCCAGTTGCCTTGTCCATTTTTTGTGATGATTGCACTGCAGCTCTGGGAAAAATGCTTCAGTATTTCAAATATTCCGGGGGGGGTTCCTCTCTCACAGACTTGAGCTACAGTTGCCAGACAGTTCTGTGAACTAGAAACTCTAGTAAAAAAGATATTCTGTATGAAACAGATTCTTGACTCTTCAGTGTCTCTCCTGCTCCTTAGGGGAAAACAATTATCAAACATGCTCTGCTGGTCTGTGGCCTGGGGAGTGTAAGCCTTTTTAAGGAAGGGGACCTCACCTCAGAATCACCCATGTCTTACCACCTTGGAAGTTTCGCATTCTTCCTCAACATGTTCTTTCAGCCCTTTGTAAAAGAAGTCCCAAATCCCCTACCTTTTGCTTATTTTGCTCTGTTGATCAGCAGGAACTGACTCTACTGCCTCCTTCCCTCTTAAACCCAATGAGGAAAAGAGGATATTCTGAGACTGTTGGAAGAATTCCCCCAACTGCCGCCTGATAACTGAAATTCTATATGGTAGCAGTCTTAAGGCCTATGGGGGCTGCTATAACAAACTATCATAGTCTGGGGGGCTTACAAACAGAAATTTATTTCTTTATAGTTCTAGAGTCTGAGAAATAAAAGGTCATGGCACCTGCAGGTCTGGTGTCTGGTGAGGGCCTCTTTCTGGTTCATATATGGCCCCTTCTCCTATATCTTCACATAGTGGAAGGGGCTAGCTAGCTCTCTGTGGCCTCTTTTACAAAGGCATTAATATTGGTGAGAGCTCCAGACCCATGACCTAATCACCTCCCAAAGGCCTCACCTTCTAATACCACCACTTTACAGATTAGGATTTCAAAATTAGGGTGACACAAACATCGAGACCATAGCATGACATAAATCCTGTAGCAGTAAACATTGCTCCCTGTCTTGTGGGGTGTCCTCTTTGAAAAGGCAAATCCCTCACATATTAAGAGTTTACAACATCATTCCTGGGAATTCTAGTGTTCCAAGACATATTCTTGGTTGCTCATAAAAAAAATGGGTTTTTAGGTCCAATAAGTTTGAGAATTGCTGCATGCCATAGCCCCTCAAGGGAGTTCCATAATACGCACACCAGATTAAAAGTTCAGAGAGACCCTGCCTTGAGGAACTATTTAACTTTGTTTAATCTAGTCATTCCTTATTTGTCAAAAGAATTCTTTTTTCGTGGAATTTTTAAAATTATTTCTTGATTCTTTATGCCTCACAGAACATGCTTTGTGAAACCCTGAGCTGACCCTTGAGGGAGAATAGATGAGTTGAACACTTCCCCTTCCCCTAGGGTATGTGGAGAGAGCAGGAATAGTGAGGACACCACACCTCTTATCCATCATCCCCCCCACCCCACACCCCCACGCCTAGAAAGGAAAGCCACTCACACAGGCTTGCATATGGCTCTCCTCCTCTGCCCAGGACACACACAGTATCTGCAAAGAGCAAGACATTCCCAAGTGTCTGTTCAGTCTATCATCCATCATCAGTCTGGGCCCTGGGAAGCTCTGTGTGAGTCTGCAACAGACTCGGTTGACAGGGAGATCCGAGAGGACCCCACCCGAAAGGAAGATATTAGAAGGCCAAATATGATATGTTCTCTTTAGTTCCATTGCCCAATTTTGATTAGACACACCCTTGTCTCCAAATTCATGCAACCTAGACCCACCCAGGTGGGAGCCCCTGGAGCACCCTGCAGAAACCACAGACTTGGAGGTGGGGCTTTCTGGGCTTGCTCAAATTCCTTGTGATTCATCTAGAACCCACACTTGCACTTTTCAGCTCTTTCTACTTTTTATTATTCTATTTCATCTGTGGAATTATCTCCCCACCTTGGTTGTAAAATCCAGGAGGTTTGAGGTATTTCCTGTTTTTCTATCTACAGCATCTAGTTTTCAGTGATAGGTATGAAGTAAGTACTTAATAAACAATACGAATTTATGTTTAACCGAATCTCTTCGGTTCTTACCCATTCCAGGAAAGAAGGGAGGTAAAATAGAAAAGCTCTCTTAACCCACCTCCTCTAACTGCCTCAGATTCAACCGGCACCAGCAATTTACACTAAGAAACACGCCAGAAAAACTCACTGAACACTCCTTGCTCACAACACTGGGCCACTCACTCTCTCATGCCCTATGCACTTCTCACTAATCGAGCTGTTTGCTTATCAAAAGTCATGTGTTCCCCAATTTGTTCATGCCAGTTGTATGCGTTACTGTAGTTATGTATTTTATATGAAGTTACTGGGAGAGACACTCATGTTCCACTACACCAGATATTTTCCACTCACCCTCCAGGCCCATTGTCCCCCTTCCTCCCTCCTGATTGATCTGCATCCCAGGAGGCTGATCTAGATGGACTGCGCTAGTCAGGCTTCTTTGCCCTCTGGCTTCTGGTTGGATTCAGCCACTACGAGGTACAGTGGGAGATAGAAGGTAGGAAATAGAGGGGTTGAGCTATTTCCTCCCCTGACTCCC